GCCTATAACATGGGAAATCTCCTTCTCTGTAGCTTCAGCCACTCTTCTGATTAATAACTCAAACTAACGCCTATGACATGGGAAATCTCCTTCTCTGTAGCTTCAGCCACTCTTCTGATTAATAACTCAAACTAACACCTATAACATGGGAAATCTCCTTCTCTGTAGCTTCAGCCACTCTTCTGATTAATAACTCAAACTAATGTCTATAACATGGGAAATCTCCTTCTCTGTAGCTTCAGCCACTCTTTTGATTAATAACTCAAACTAATGTCTATAACATGGGAAATCTCCTTCTCTGTTGACCAAAACAGCTTTGTGTTGTAGCTTTGTGTAAAAAATTGTAAAACAAACAAACAGACACCAACAGCCTTTACTCATTACTCAACCATACTGGATGAATTTCCTTCTCAATATATAAATTTTATTTTTCATCAATTAGTGGGTAAAAAATAAGGCTTTACCAACAGTAAAGGAATCATTCTTAAACATTGAGAAAGTTAAGAAGGTTTGACTTTTTCAGCTGGGGCAGAAAAGTTTTACAGAAAATGCATCAATAATTATATTTTCTCTATCTAAAGATTAGTATATATAATCAAATTCTTACCCTCCAGGATAGTGTTAAAATAAATTCTTACTTAAAATAGCAGCTGCTTCCCCTGTAGTTACACCTCCCATGTAGCTAAAGTCGGCGTCGAACTGTACATGGCCGTTTTCCAACATGAACTCTGGAGAGTCTGGAAGAAACCAGTGTTCTTTTTGTCGAGTCTCTCTGTCAAGCACCGGGCCCCAAGCTAGGCGTCCAACCATTGGCTGAAAAATTAATTATATCACAGTTAAGACTACATGCAAAATGTAGCTAACAGATTTTAGATGGGAAAAGGAAAAACTGGTGAAAGCAAGCAGTTGATACCAGTAAGATTTTTATCAAATCTTTTTGCTTTTGTGTATTTCAGGGATGACATTTCTCATACAAATTGATCAAAACAAAAGGCTGATCAAAGTTTTTAATTTATGGCCCATCAGAAGAGTAGAGTTTGTTTGTAATTAAGCACAAAGTTACACAATGGGTTATCTGTGCTCTGCCCACCACGGGTATCGAAACCTAGATTCTAGTGTTGTAAGTCCGCAGACATACCGCTGTGCCACTGGGGAGCTTGTTTGTTTGAAGTTAAGCATAAAGTTACACAATGGGTTATCTGTGCTCTGCCCACCATGGGTATCGAAACCCGGATTCTAGCGTTGTAAGTCCGCAGACATACCGCTGTGCCACTGGGGAGCTTGTTCGTTTGTAATTAAGCACAAAGTTACACAATGGGCTATCTGTGCTCTGCCCACCACGGGTATCAAAACCCGGATTCTAGTGTTGTAAGTCCGCAGACATACCGCTGTGCCGCTTGTTTGTTTGAAGTTAAGCACAAAGCAACACAGTGGGCTATCTGTGCTCTGCCCACCACAGGTATCGAAACCTGGATTCTAGCGTTGTAAGTCTGCAGACATACTGGGGGGCAGAAGAGTAGAGAGAATATCAACAAAACATCATAATAAACTGTTCATAATATAAAATGAAAGATACCAAACAATCCCAAGTTTACATTGAGTTATTTAAATTAGTGCAGGGTTTAGATCATGTGCCACAAACTTTATCATTATAACACACCATTCAGATAAACTCCAAGGATGAGAAATATAAAATAACTTATAAATTAATTCATAAGCAAAATTTGAAAGAATAAGTAGAAGCAAAATAACTAGCTTATTTATACAACTTGTCACATTATTTACAATACATGATAAAATCAGACATATTGAGAAGTTAGGAAATTCACTCAAAAGTATTATTAAAAACACAACCGTTTCAAAGTTTTAGTGTCAAGTCATTTTCTGGATGTATAAACTGATGTACATTAGCAGTGACATCTGTTGGAGAAAGTCAGTAACACACTCATAACATTCAAATGGTTTTACAAACCTCAAGTTTAGAGTTGGAAAAATCAGAAACACTTCGACTTTGTACACATTCTACAAGTTTTGAAGGAGAACTTGAAGTACAACCTAATTTATCACCAAGGATGAGTGTGTTGTTGATGAGGTGTAGTGGATCCAAGATGACTGCCCAATCAGCAACAGCTGATCCACTTTGTGCAATAACCCTTTTCACTTTTTCTTTAAAACAAGTAAACATAAGAACATTTTTGTGATCATAAATTTTCTTCAAGATTTTTGAAATGTCATTAATTTAAATTATCTACTAATATGTAGAAATACAAGTTAAAAACAAGGAAGAAAATGAAAAAATATCTATTGTGAAACAAGCAGTAACTTGGTAGATTTTACATTAAAATGTTTCCAGCTTGATATTTGTAACCTTGATAATGTTTAAACCTTTTCCATGAAATCCTATCCATAAAATACTTAAAAAAGCTAGCCTCAAAATTAACTAAAACAATAGATCTTCAGGTTCCTTTTTAAAAAGATAGCCTCAAAAATCACTAGAACAATAGATCTTCATGTTCTTTTTAAAAAGCTAACCTCAAAATTCACTAAAAAAAAGATCTTCATGTTTTTTAAAAAGCTAGCCTCAAAATTCATTAAAACAATAGATCTTTATGTTCTTTTTAAAACGCTAGCCTCAAAATTAACTAAAACAATATATCTTTATGTTCTTTTTAAAAAGCTAGCCTCAAAATTCATTAAAACAATAGATCTTCAGGTTCCTTTTTAAAAAGATAGCCTCAAAATTAACTAAAACAATAGATCTTTA